ACTTATATCACTGGTAATTATCTAATGATCGCTTTCGCTTTATTAATTTCTTTTCCAAAGATATTTTTCACATAGAAAATTTTGCTAGACACATGACAAGATTAACAAAACGGCATATCTTAAGGCATTTAAAAAATTAGAAAGTGGTAACTTCCATGATAAGCACTAGAGACACACTGTAACAGACCTTGACTACGAACGATTTTGTTTTAAAATGCGAGAGAGAAAAAGGTCTACATACTATCTCCCTGTAATATACTTATACATAACTACCTCACTCTATAATTTTAATTAGAGAATTACAGAGTGAGACAATAGAAGTTAGAGTGAGATAATACAAATACACAAAGACTGAAGTTATATATACATATGTAACATTGAGGATGACCCAATCGGGCTCAAAACGTCTGTTATTTGTTATTTGTTTTAGATCATGATAATTATATTTGTTTCTTATATTTACACATTTACTTGTTTGTTTCATAGCCTTTCGAAACATGTATTTTTCATTGTATTATAGACCATGTTACACGATGCATATAAATATATATGTATATACCTTTCTCTCTCGTAGAATTTTAACAAAATCGCTCGTGACCATGTTTTATTACAATGTCTCTATAATTATAGTGAGTGTATATATGTATACATAACATAAGGCGTCAAAGCAGAAGATTTGGCGGCAATCTGAGCGTGGCTAAGGAACGCACACATTCTCCTCTGCACTGCTCTAGTACGACGCGAGGAAGAGAGATTGATAGAGCGAATCGAGAGGGAAAGAGAGAAAAAGAAAGACGGAGATAGAAAACGCTTGTGAAAGAACGACCGTGAGGATCGGCAAAGTTGTCGGAGCGGTCACCAGCGCGGCGGTCGACCAAGCCAGTCGACCTGCTACGCCGGCCAATCAGCCAAGCCAACCGGGCCCAGCCATCACGTTCAACCGCGCTGCGTTGCGCTGCGCTGCGCTGCGCGCTGCGCTTCGTTACTTCGCGCTGCGCTCGCGCCTCGCGCTCGGCCGAAGCCGAGCAGCCAGCACTGCCTAGCAGTCACTGGTACTACTGCCACTACTGACAGTCAGTGCGCGACGAACCTTCGTTGCGTGTTTCCGCGTTCGACGTCTCGCCAATGTTTGGAAAAAAAAAAAGATACACATAAAGAAATAGAAAGAACAAAGATGAAAAAAAGAGGATGACCATGACGCGAGATGCATCGGAAGCCCCGGCGAGATCGCGTAGCTTCTCTACTCACTGCTACTCACTGGTACTCACCCCCGCTCACCGTACGTGCTCCATAGCCGCAAGTCGGCGATTCAGGTGATTGTCAGGTGCGCGTTCCGTATCTCTCCATCAACCGTATGCACGCTGATCTCTGTTCGCTGCTCCAGTTTGTGAGTATGTGTTGTGCGTGATGTGACTCGAGTGTATTACACCATGCGATGTACGAGAATTTCTGCGTGTGAAAAAGAATAAGAAAGAGACATTTGTACGAAGCGAAGAGAGTATAAGAAAGAAAGAGAAGAGAGAGAGAGAGAGAGAGAGAGAGAAAGAGAGAGAGAGAGAGAGAAGCGACATGGCGCCCCCCGACAGATCGCCTCGCCCTAGCTCTGGTCTCAGCCTCTCCGTGCTAGGTAAGTGCTTTAATTTACTCTTTGCATTGTCTATTCTTAGTGTTTTCTTCATGACATTTACTCGCTATTTTTCTTTCAACACAGTCGCAAAATTATTCGCGTGATCGACTTTCCGAAGATTAAATTATTTTAGAAAATAAAGTTTCCAGGTACGTTAAACTTGTGTGAATGGATTAAAATTTATTCATTGAAAATATGTATAGAATTACAACAGATTTTATGTTCTAGTCTTGAACTTGTGTATTCTAGAAATTGCAAATTTGCATTTTCTACTCTCTCGTAGTATTTTTTACTAGATATCGTGTGACAGTTCTAATAAAATAAACTGTAATAATGAAAATAATTAAATCTTTTTGTTTGTTATATATGTTATCTTTAGAGTTAATTAACGAGATGCATCAATGGCATTATTGATATTCTCAACATTTGCAACAAAATTAATTATCGAGAGAGAATGAGAGAGAGAGAGAGAGAGAGAGAGAGAGAGAGAGAGACAGAGAGAGAGAGACAGAGAGAGAGAGACAGAGAGAGAGAGACAGAGAGAGAGAGACAGAGAGAAAGAAAATCTATTCATCGTGCACAGTTCAATCGCGTTGATTCTCTGGCACTTAAATCGCGTGCTGTCACACATTAATTATTATTAGAAACGTGATTAAACTTTACATGAAACTTTCTTAAACACGCATGCTACAGTTCTGATAACAATATTATGTAAGAAGATTGGATTAACATTTTTTATGAAAATTATTAAACTTTTTATATGTAATAAAATAATATGTAGAGTGTTAAAGTAATCTCTTTAGGAAAGACAGTAGTATCTTAAAAAATAATTTAACAGTGTAAGTTTTATTTATGATGAATTGTAAGTCTAATAATCTATTAAGCGTTAATACGTCTCATTTTATTATAGAATAATAATAATCTTTAATTTTAACTAAACGTCACAAGATTCAACTTGATGATGAATAAAAGTGTAAATTAAAACTGTGGGAAATTGACGTGTGTTACCTGTATTTTAAATACATGTTTGGATTATTTGACGCTCTCTCGAATGGAACACTTCCGTTTTCATGTTTGTATATATATTTTTTTTTTTTGTTGTATT